GGTGGGCAGAATGAAACTGAAATTGCTTTGTAAAGCATTGTGTGCACTAAATATTTATTATTTAGGTTACTTCCATCATGTTGTCTAGGGTCAAAGCCCAAAGGATCAGTGGAACTTGAGGATAATTTAGTTCAAAGCTCTGAGTTTAGAGTTTTACAGTGAAACATAACTTGAGCTCAGTCTCCTGATACCAATACTCTTTCAACGATGCCACCACCTTGCCATTTTGTCTATCTCAGAGGGTTTCGTGGGTTTAAGAATGTGGAGATGGTTTGTCTGGTTCCACTACTGAAGCTTTTATCTGATTTTCTATCACAGACTGATTGCGGCCATTTGGAAAAGGCTCCGGATTCCTATTCTGTGTGGTCTGGGAATTCCCTTTCTGCTCCCAGGCTCAGATCATTGGACTCTCTATGGTGAGGGTTTGGTTCCACCACCAATACGTCCTTTGGGGAAGGGCTTGGCACACAGTAGGCGTTCAGGAAATGCCACTTGATCGATGAATAAATAAATGAGCATACTTCTCTCTGCACATCCTGCTTCTGTGATTTATTGGGGTGTGAGTGGAGTGGCAAATGATGAGGGAAGGTCTGGATATGAGGCCTCCCTCCTAGAGATATTAAGTGGAAGGAAGAAGTTTAGGGGGTTGACAGGCAAATTTACATCTGAGTTTAAATTACTGGCTGTGTAATTTTGGACAAGTGATTTTGTTTTGTAAATTTCGATTTCTTTATCTACAAAGTGGTAATATAAATCACTTTCTCACATTATTTGGAGCACTGGAAGGTGCAATGAGTGTNCTGACTTTCTCTTGTTCTCCCTTGTCTTTCTCTGTTTCTGCCATTTATTCTCTGTGCTTATCATGCCTGTGCCTTTAGCTCTCAACAATTCTCATGTTGCTTCTACTTATCTTTGTTCGTTTCTCTTGATCCACATCTCTCCTCACCTTTCCTTGTTTTTCCACGGGGTGGAAGACTCTGCCTGGGAGCCCTCTGCCTTTCTTCTGGGCCTGTGACTTCTCTTGGCCAGGTATCTGGTTTAATCAAGCCTGTCACTCTTCCTGGAGGTCAAACAGGCATTTCCCTTTGGAGTCATGATGGCTACTCATCATCCAGCCCCCTCCTGACCTCTTGACCTTCTCTTTAAAAGCTTTGAAAGCTGGAGCTTGCCCTCCTAGAAAACATGCCCAGTGCCTTAGATATGAGGAACCCGGGTGCCACAGTGACTGGACGTGTCCAGGAAAGCAGAGATGTTGCCCTGATAGTTGCGGCATCAAATGCCTGGATCCCGTTTACATCCCAAACCAAGGTGAGCAGGTGGGGTTAGCTGAGTGAAGGGGAGTGAGCCTGAGTACACAGCACCTAGGAGGATGGGATTGGGCCATGGGATCCTCTTTTCAAGGAGTTGTTGAGCCCAGTTTGTTAGTCAGTCACACTGCCCCAGGCAGGAAGTTAGCCACCTGGCTGGTGAAGCAGCCAGACTGTCAGGAGGTCAGTCTTCCAGGTAACCACCTGGGCATTCAGATAGCCAGGCAGTTGGCACTGGATAGCTGGTCACCTGTGCTGAGC